TTCACCTGATTTAAGAGTATCCATTCACCTGATTTAAGAGTATCCATTCACCTGATTTAAGAGTATCCATTACAGTATCCTTAACCTGATTTAGGATTTTGGATTTTGTGGCGTCTTTTTCATATTGCACCTCTGTGCCAAATGAATAAACCCGAGACCCAAGTGGACTATCATTGGGGTACCTGTGTTATAGCTCTTCACTCAATACAAAATGGCGTCCATGTTGCTGTGCTGCAGACGAGCAAGGTTTTCATTCTCTTCTCGTATTTTATCCAAAACATTTACCAGTCTGACTCCAAGCCACTGTTCACCGGGGGATAAATTTCATTCTTCTTCAGGTAAAAATCATTCATTTGCAAAGTAACAAAGATTTTAAGACAAACTTTTATCCGCCACGTGAAAATTGAACTTATGCAATTTCTCTCGTTTTGTTGTTTTTCGCCCATTTTCCCCCCGCTTGTCCATTGAGAATTAAATGATTTTTAATTTTAATGAGATTAATGGTCTAAAAATGTCATACATTTTTCTGAGGTTTCAAAAACTCTGGTTCAGAAGTTTTCGATATTTTTTTTGACACAGGAAGCCCATCCGTGTGAATTAAGTGTTTTGGATGAAAGATGATTTTATAATCAAAATAAACAATATTTTTATCTTGATTATATTAACTTATTGTTCCTTTATCAATTTTTATTTGATTATATTTCAGTCAAAATAATTTCAAACCTTCATCTGCGTTTGTGTTCAACTGCAAACGTCAAAACTGATAAGAATCTTCTCTCCAAGCTGAGGAAATCAACTGGTTTTGGTTTCTCCAAATGCCGAGAAGCACTTGTTTTAAACAATAATGATTACAGTGCTGCTGAGGCCTGGTTACATGAGCAGGCAGAGAAGGAGGGATGGGCCAAGGCAACAAAGTTACAAGGGCGTGCGGCATCGGAGGGGTTAGTAAGTGTGATGGTTGATAATGAAGATACCAATCTGGCTGCTATGGTTGAGGTAGGTTTGACACTTTGTTATAGATATCATTAGATATCATTATTATTATCATCATCACCATTATCATCATCATCAACACTTTTTGTTTTTAATTTAATATATTTATCATAACATTTGCCTCAAAAGCAACGAGACTTAACGTCTATTTTACAATATAAATAAAATTTAAAAATAGCATAAAATTTAAAATAGCAACAGCGGACAGTAGGAAATAAGTACAATAAATACACAATAAATACAAACTAAAATAGTATAAAAAATAGTACAAAATCATCAACACTATCAATCTAGTTGTTGTCATCACCACCATCACCAAAACTTTCATTGTCGTTATTACCATCATTACTACCATTATCTTAATCATCATCATCATCATCTTCATCATCACCATTATTATCATCATTACTATCACTATCGCCATCATCATCACCATTATTATCATCATTACTACCATTATCATCATCATCACCATCATCATCACCATTATTATCATCATTTACAATTATCATCATCACCATCATCATCGTAATCATGTTTTTTTATATCTAACAATCCATGAACATAAAGCTAATATCATAGCTGGTGCAAAAGCTAAAACCAATAACTGTTTCACATCAATGTCCATATTTTTTTAGGTTAATTGTGAAACAGACTTCGTAGCAAGAAGTGACATGTTTGTAGACCTCATCACCATGGTAACCCATGCAGCCGTAGGTCACCGTAAGGCTGTGGTCGAACAAAATCGTAAACTCAACATGTTTGGAGACTCGTCTGTCCATTTAAGGGAAGTGCTTCTGACCCATGACCTCCGAGACCTCAAAACCAAGAATGGCACTCTGGAGGAACTGGTTGCCAAGACGATAGGAAAACTTGGTGAGAATATCAAGCTTGGTAGGGCAATCACCATGACAACCGAGTCAGATAATGTATTTGGTAGCTATGTACATGGTCCTTTTGTTAAAAATATTAATAATTGTTCTGTCGGCAAGTTTGGGGCCATAGTAGCACTAAAGCCACTACGTACTGATGTTAATAATGAGCAAATATCAGCTTTATCTAGTAGGCTTGCTCAACACATTGTTGGCATGAATCCAAAAGTTATCTCGAAGAGTGCAACAGATAAACCTAATGAAGGCTTTGATGAGAGTGACGTCTTAGTTGAGCAAGAGTATCTGCTCGATGGTTCATTAACCGTTGGTGAGTTGTTGGAGAGAGAAGGTGTTAAAGTGGTGGATTTTGTAAGGTATGAATGTGGTGTAATCTGAAATAGTTTTAATCCTAGACAATTATTTAAACTTTATATTATATCCCCTGTAAAAAGCATTTAGTGCTTATATTTTTTACCTATATGATGATTGCAAAACATGATATATCCTAATGGGCTCCCATTCAATCAACTCTGAATGGGAGATTCATAACCATCATTTCATAGGGGTTTTTCATATGATATCACGCTGTAGAGAAATTTGTTTAATATTCAAAGTTCTCATACCAATATTAGAAAAAAACTATTAAGTTTCATGAAGATTGCAAGTGAAGATTTTTTTTGACATGAAATTTCACCAAATTTGTCTGCAGTGGTGGATCCAGGGGGGGTTCGAAGGGTTCCACGGAACCCCCCTTGAAGGTTTGATCTTTTAGGTAGTAGAAATGTGTCTTATATAAATTTTGCTTAAAAGTATCCACAAAGATAATGTTCAACATGAAATGATAGATATTTGCTGTTATAATGTTTAATTTACCTTTAAGTTCCATTACTAGATAGTAAATTAGGTGATTAGAGCCAAATTTTTTGTCAAACATCGACTAAACAAAAGAGAATTATACACAGTTTAAGAAACGGAACCCCTCTTTGAAAAATCCTGGATCCGCCACTGGTCTGCCAGCATATATTTCTTTGTAAAGATTGTAAGGATCAGAATTTCTTATATTCTCTGGATTATGGACAATGTTCACAAAACTTTATGATTCTACTAATAATATATCTCCATGTAAATGAATAAAATGACTGTAATCTCTTTTTTTTAAATGCAGCCTACGCACAATAATACACTTGAATATTTTTTGTTAATATGAGGTCTCAGCAAAAGAGAAGGGGAGTGCGTCATAACGGGCCAGGGGTGGTCTGATTTTTTGCCGACAAATGTAATGTACAAAGCACTATTAGCGAGCTAGGTGCGTTAGAAGGCTGCTTTTTTGTACCTCGCTCTAGACCCTCTTTGATCTGGAAATTTTTCTACAGAAGGTATTCTCACTAAAGAAGTTACTTTTTGCTTGATGAAGACAGATTTTGAACAGGCATTGATGTTTAGTTTTTAATGTGTGCCAGCACTTTAATGTCCTCTACGATTAGTCTGTTAGATACATTATTTGAAAATGTCAGTAGAAAGTCTGTCTAACAAACTTCTAATAAATTTATTTGATTTGGTCAAAAACTCATCAGGGATTTAAACCACCTTATGATTTTCTGAATGCATTGATCTCTCAAAATGTCTTGACAATTCAACTTTTGACCAGCACTCCTCACATGCTATCTAAGAAGCTATTTCCATGTAACGTAAATGTCTATATTGGGTGGAGGATATTGAATGAATTTTTTTTGTGAGAGAGCGGAGCATCATGGGATCTAGTGGGTCTCTCAGTTGATCTTTTGGGATTTGGATGGTGACTCAGTTCCAAATCTTCATCTCATAGCTATAGGACAGCACTTCTCTTGTGGAAGCAAAGCATGATGGGATCAAATGGGTCTCTCAATTGATCTTTTGAGATTTGGATGGCAACTCGGGGACAAACCCTCGTTCATCATCAGCTATCCTAACATACTCATAAGTCACAACTTCGTCTTCTCTTCTCTCTTTCTCTTCCTCATAATTTGACCAAACAACTGCGAACAGACCCAAAATAATCTGTGCTGCTCCAATGTACTCCAAAGTCACCAGATGCTCATCCAAGACAAAATATGCCAAGACAGCACAGAATAGCACTTGTAGTGGCCATGTTGCTGTAACAATACTTGCAGATATCTGCATATTACACCAAGTAATCAATAGATAGCAGAGTGCCGATGCTATAAAAATAGCATAGACAATAGGATATATCTCCTCTGAGGGAAAGTGTGTAAATTTCTCTGGTTTGTTCACGTAATACAGTGACGCCAACCCCATGCAAATTGTCCCGAAAAGATAACTCCATGCTGTAACAGTAATGGGCTTCGTTTTCCATGCATTTTCCTCCTTGTTGAAAATAAATTTCTTCTGGAGAAGAACATAAACAGCCATTGACAAAGTATTTCCTATAAGGAAGACATAGCCTAAAGCATAGCCTTCAGGAAGTTTGCCATTACCAGATTTAACCTTGTCGACAACCATGGTTGATGCGCCGGCTGCTGCTAGCAGGATCCCCAAAATCTTTGCCCAACCATGGAGTTTTCGTAACTGTGGAAAAGGTTCTATTCTGGTGATAATGGCAAAAAGAGCTGTCCACACAGGTATAGCTGGCTGGAATATCGACGCAATGTTGGCATTTGTGTAATAGACGCCAAGAATGTAGAGTAACTGGTTCCCAAACATTCCAGTTAGACCTAAGAGAGCAAACATTGGGAGCTCTCTGAAAGAAAAAATGGGAATAGGGAAATGACATAATAACTGTGCTTTTCATTTATTAGTTCCTAATTTAATATTCGTTTTTATTTTTTTGGTTTTATTTCGTCCCAGTAGCTATCCTCAAAATGGGAGATGAGAGCAAACATTGGTAGCTCCCTGAACGATAAAAAATAGGGAACGGAGAGTCATAAAATTACTGTGCTTTTTGTTCCTTAGTCCCAAATTTAATATTTATTTTTATCTCTTTCATTCTGTCATTTTAATTTTCTGTTTTTATTTCATCTCAGTAGCTCCCCTCAAAATGGAAAAATGGGAAATGAAATTAATTATATTACTGTCATCTGAAATTTTCCTTTTATTCTAGCATTTCATTTTCCATTTTCATTAATTTAGATTCCTTTCAACTCCTTTTATCATTTCGATCAAAATGTACAATATTTAATTTTAAAGAATGCGTGACCATTTTGCGTTGCGTTATTGCGTTGCGTTACGTTCGCGAACGGGTACCAGAATTGCCTGTTGATCATATGCTCAGATCATAAACCAAACAAATTTTTCAGAAAACGTATTTCAATCACATGATTCTCATAAAAATAAATCATCTTTTACCTTAAACCGAATAGAAAAGATCACGTGAGGACTCGACTTGGGCCATGTGAAAAAATTCTTATAATTATTTTAATATTTCCTACACATTATAGTCTTCATAATATCAATTTATCATATAACATATATTCGAGGTAAATGAGAAATTATTTAAAATTCTAAACGAAATTGAAAAAATTTTGAATATTTATCGCATCGATTGAGCAATATATTGGCCCGTGTCCAAACCACGAAGCTGCAAATCAATGTTCCAACTTTCGTTTATTCGTATTTCTTGAAAATCGAAAAGAAATTAAATATAGGCTTAGTAAGAATCCTTCTATCGCCTCTGTACTGGAATATTGTTTTCACAGCGTTTGTTTTCATTCTTTTTCGTACCGTAATTGTGGAAGTTGTAGTCTTTTCTCCGATATCACGGCTGCTATAAGAAGTACAGGAAAAGCCCCGGCGTCCCGAATCAAGCTAAATACCAAGGGGTCTGCCTTGTTTTTGACTGCAAACTTAGAAACGACGACTCCATAAGCACCAAACCCAAACTGGATGACAATCAGGGCAAGCCAAACGCACCAAGAAGAAGCCATATTGATGTTATGAGGGGTTGAGAGAGAGATATTTAGTGATTGGGAGCCCTGTGGTAGGGGCTGTTAGGGCTCATCACACACTTATTATAGTCCAGTCACGCGCTAAGAAAAATGTCTGGAACTGAAATTTGTCTAAACAAAGAGTAAGACGCGGGGGGAGGGGGGGGGGGTACTCCCATATATGGACTATACGGGGATGATCCGCTGAACAGGGTATGGTTTTTCGTGCAATTTCACTCAAGTTCCAAGTTATTCAAGAGTTTCCTGTCATATTCAGGGTTTCTACTTTCGTATTGACCGAAACTGGTTATTATAGTCGGGGAAAATATAACAATACGCGAGCTGACATGATAATTGAAACAGGAACTCAGTGCAATTAATTATATCTTTTGTCATAAACAGGGTCCACAAATTTGAGGTTTTTTTATCATAAACAGGATACCCCTTTCAGAATCCCAGCGGAACACCCCTACCCAAATTCTGGCGGATTACCGGGAAGTAAGACGGGAACTTTAACTTGCTTTTATCTGTCATGTGCTTAGATAAAATGGTATTTGATAGACATGGACTTGGATTTAGGTTAAGGATTAGGAATATAATGAGCGATATAGGATTTCCCCAGTGGGAAATAGAATCACCAACATGGGATT